GTCAATTTTACATTAATTTTTAAAATGGACTAATGTGATACAAAACTTGAATTTTGTAGATTAAATTGGAATAAGTTAAAGTTTTGTGATCCACATGAAACATATCTTAAAGATGGATGAGTAATTCAGAATACATTAAAGTTGAGTGACCAAATTGAAATCTGGCTAATAAATTACTGATTAATTGAGTTTTTACCTGAAAATTGCACAGTTTTTACTTGTACACTAACACATTTTGAGCCGAAGAACCGCTGCCTTAGGCAAACAATGCTGGGTTTTGCAGCCGCTCCCACCGCTGCTACTTCCGCCGCCTCCGCTGTTACTTCACTTGCCAACGCCGCGCACTCTAACATCTTCTCCTCCGCCTTTTTTTCTCTCGATTCTATTTCCGGAACTTTCTCTCCCTTCAATCAACCGGTACTTATTTTTATTCTCCTGCTTAATTTTTTGAATTCTGATGGTTTATTGTCTAGCTTTGAATATTTTGGAATTCCGTGAGTTTAGGTGTCAGCGACGTCGTCGAAGTTAACTTCCTATCGAGTTAAAGCCATGGCCGATACTCTTTCGACTCCGAAGCTCGATTCCAAGTCCTCTGTTGCTGGTACTGTCTTTTGGCACTCGTTCGATTATGTGTTCGTGCGCCCTCTCGTTTATACCGACTATATATTGTATTGTCAGGGAGGAGGCAAGCGTTGATTTCACTGTCAGACAAGAACGACTTAGCGTTGCTTGGACGTGGACTACAGGATTTGGGGTTAGATATCAATCACACTCAGAGACTTTATCCATATGTGTTTGCTTTTGCATTCTCAATTGTTAAAAATGTTTGTTTAGAATTGTGGTCATTAATGACTGCCCAAAATTGGATTGAATATTACAAGTTTTTATCTTAGTAATTTTTGTTTGGACTTTTATCGTGCCTGGATTATTGGTTCCTGTAATAATATTCTAAAACTGAGATTTAGAATGCAGTGTAGTGATTTTACCCCATTACCTTATGAGAACAATAGCGGAAGAAGTTAAATGTGACTTTTATGCTAGAGATGCAAACTTAAGATGTCCCTTAATGCACTGAAGTATTATTTCTGAAAATCCCCCTGCCTTCTTCTTCATTTATAATATTTAGCCGCTGTTCGTTGGGATTAAAATCAGTTTTTTAACAGATTTTGATAAAAGTGGATGAAATGTGCGGTTGAAAAGTTGTGGTCCTATATTAATTGTACTTGAAAGAGTAGGACTTTGAGATGATAGGGTCAAGATGAATGTTCATAGTTCTCATATGAAATGCCTGTGGATTGTGGTGCGACAGTGGGAGGGAATAGTGATAAATGGACACTGAAGTTGAAAATTTTGATTTTTTTGAGATTTTTCCCCCCTTCTTTGAGTAGTGCGAGTTCAGAGATCCATGAGTGCATTATACAAATCTGGGTTTGTCAAATGATGTAGTGATGCATTACAATTCAATTGTTTGGCTACTTTAAAAATGTACCTTGCATGATATTCACATCTTATATGAAAATTCAGTCCATTGTTAGTTGGCATCTGATAGTGTTCCTCCTTATGACCTGTTTTTGATTTTGTAGATTCACTATTGTTTCCACTGGAGGAACAGCATCTGCTCTGGAATCTTCTGGAGTGTCCGTGACCAAAGTTGAAGAGCTTACTAGTTTCCCCGAAATGGTAAGTCAATTCTCCTGCTGCTTTATCCAGTATTGATTTCTCTCATCATTGGTTCAGTCCCCCTGTGCTGTTAACTCCGTAAAATTCTGTTGCCTGTTGCTTTTGAAGTTCTGTTCCACTACTAAACAGGAGAAAATATATAATTTCCCTTCATTATCCACCTGTTTTTCTTTGTTTCTCTGTCTTCTTTCTTTCCTTCTTATACACATCCTTTTCTTCTCTTGACCCCATGTTTGACAATCATTATTTAAAAATTCTTTTTTCTACATACTCATTTTGAACTACATATTCATACAATAAAATATTCTGCACGTAAATCCAAAACTTTTTCCTACTTTCTCACCACACATTATCCTAAAAATCACTATTTAAAACATTGTTTTTCCCAAATAATGGCCATTAAACAGGGGCTTAGTTTATTTTCTGTATACATGGATTCCTTGAAAGATAATATTAACATTTGATGCCACTAGCTCGTGAGTTTGTGCCTCTATGTGCATTTATAACAAACTTGACATTATGGTTGACCATACCATCATGCTCATGTGTGATGTGTATTACAAAAAGTGGTTAACTTCGAATGTCACAGCTATATTATTGTTATCTTCTACAGAAGAAATCGTCGATATCGTCGTTATTTAGGCTTAGTACGTCACTTCTGAATTTTTTAGATGACGTTGGTAGTTTGTTATTGGTCTTGCACCTTTTTTTTTTTTTGAATA